AACCGCATCGTGGACTCTAACACCAGCCTTGGTGAGATTTGCGATTACACTTGAATCTCATAGAGAGATTCAGGTGTGGTCGCAAATCTCACAGATGTGCGAGTGAACGCCTTCAAAGATTTTTTACGGGGCGGGAGGGGAAGGGGAGGGGTTGAGATGATCCAACTGTTTGCAGTGTTTGAGAGCATCTGTGATGATGAAAAATGCTCAGATTGTAGCAATGATAGTGAAGGATAGGGAGTGTTGTAAAAATGCACAGATGTGTGGAACGCCTTGCATTAGCCAGGCAATCCGAAGAATGTTTGGCACTAGGAGCTCCACGAATGGAGCTCTTCATTCGATGGCCTTCTCACTCATTAGAATGAAGAGCTCCATTCGTGATCGAACGGGCCGCTCGCTCTTGTAGAATTGCAATCAGGCAATTGTAAGCCGTTTACGCTGCATAATTTATGCACCGATCAGCGCCAATTTCATAACTAACCAGAAAGGCCTTTCAGGACATGGAGCGATTTTCCAAAACGGTTTTTTGCATGTTAAAGTGGTACATGCATGGAGTACAAAACTGTGGTCCATTTTTTCTGAGCGGCCCTCCTAATGCCAAAAAAGGAGTGAAAAAAAATTATTTCGGAAGTGCCTTTTTGTAGCCTTCAGGTAATGTTGAGAACATCGACATATTTGCATATCAAATGGCAAATTTTCGAAGTTGGGTCAAAATCTTAATTTTCTCTAAAACTTTTCCTGTAAGTGTAACCCAGTGCGCTGATTACCAATCTGGCGCACACTTTCGATAAAGGCGCAATACAGTGCCATTTTAGCCCCATTAGGCACCATTTTGGCGCCGTTTGAGCACCATACTTTTTTCACCCCAATTTTGGGCAAGAACATACTCGAAAAGGCTAATGATGATTCTATTCGTAGGTACAGCACCGATTTCCAACGCTGGCTATATTTGCGCCATTTAGCAGGTCTTACCCTGGAATGCAAAATTTTGACGCCAGCTGGAATCGATCCCTTGACGGATATTTCATTCCTTTTTTGGATTCACAGGGCAGCCCAGAAAAAATTGAAGATATTCCTGCGTTCCTTGTACATGCCTCTATTAAATGCAGAAGGCCATTTTGCAAAAGCGCTCCATGTCCTGAAAGGTACATCTCCCTGGTAAAATTACGCACCCTCAGAGAAGTAATGAGCCATGTGAAGCATTCCTCTATAGATATCAAAAAGGAGTGAATAGAAGTTACTATTTATCGATATTAAAAAATTCTAAATCATAAGAAATAAGCGGCACGTTTTAGAAATTGCCATGCATTGATGAGTTCTATGGTTGCGCAATAGATAAAACTCAGTCTTCAGTCATCTGCGGAAAAAACTGATATCTTCGGAGTAGTCTCCAGCTCTCTCTCTTATAACCTCGGCATTCTTTGTTCTTATTTGTCTTTGCTTCTTGTGCCTTTCGAGGTTGCACTGATGTCTTCGGTTACTTCGAAGTGGTTAGGTTTAGTCCTAGAGTGAATGAGTCCACTAACGTGCTCGTAAATCCTCTCCTCCACACTTACCCCCCTCCCCTTACACACTTTTACACAACCATTTCGAAAACACTGACAGATATAACATACCAATATTTGAAGAGAATTGCTCGAATGAGAAAAAAAAATGAGGCACAAAAACTTTGCAGTGAGCACTCTCGAGTCTGCCGTTTATATGAGCTAAAAATATTTAGAACAACTAGCGTTTCAATTTCCTTATAGGGAGCTCCATGGCATTAATCAAGGCATCATTACTGAGCTTGTGTTGCACAGCAGATCCTTTTCAGACAGTCCATTCACGGTGCAATGTACTGGAAAAGGTGCAGGAAGAAAACGAGAAGAAATTGCTCGAAAAGCGGAGCAGGTAATTTTGGTGATAGAATTGTTTGCATAAGAGGCTTATGATACCATTTCAGGCTGGACTGGCTTTGGTTGGCAAAGAAGCGCTATTGTACTTGCTGTTGCCGAATGTTGCTCCAATGGACAGCTGTGCGAGGATCCTCGATCCCAAAGGACGCACAGAAGACGTTGAAATGCGAGATGTAGGCGGACAGCTCTTCCAGATCAGGTCCGTCAAGGTCCATTTATGTCACTGCAGCTCGATTTTTAATGTCTACTTTTTATCGGAGCGAATCAAATTTCGAATGCCAATATACAATTTTTTCATACTTTCACATCACAACCAATGACGGCTAGTCTGTTTGGCTTTGTCATTTTGTTGTGGTTGCCGCTTTCACAATCAGGCACTACATTCTCGCTTCCAGTGCGGCCGGCATGGTTTCTTGTGAGAACTTAGGGGAAGGCCTCAGGGTTTACGGACTACTTGATTTTTCCTCAATGGTCCTGCCGCGATGGCTAGAGCACAGACGATTAGAGAATGCCCTAGGACTAAGCCTTGGAGAGGAGAGGGACCCGCCAGAGAGCGCAGAGGCGGTTTAAAGGGCTGAGTTCAAGTAGTTCCGTCAACCAAGGTCTCAGTTAAAGACGATCTTTTGTTGTAGCTTTTTCAGTGCGCTATAGACTGTGGAGCGACTGAAGATCAGATTTTGAAACACAGGGAAATCAGCAGTGTCTATTGCAGAATGTCCGACTTCCGTACAGGGAGCAATAGCACCCCCATTCAAGGTCAACCGTCACGTTGGACCAATTTCGAAAATTTTACGACCCCCTCCCCCTTCTAGAGGGCCTCGATACGACCCCCCCAACCCTCACGACCATCCTCCACCACCCTCGCCTGCCATCGCCATCATGGGGCGATTCTATAGTATTTGATTCTGAGACCAGTCGACACAGCCCAACTCCGCCCACTTTTCCCTCCAAAATTACCGTCGAGCGGGGGGGGGGGGTATTCTACTAGTTGACTACTACGAGCCATTACTGTAACATTGACGCTACCTCGCAAAATACGACCCCCCTTTTCCACCCCCCCCAAATACGACCCCCCACCCCTCGTTGGACTTTGTCCAACGGACGGTTGACCCTGCCCCATTGCCGTGGAAATGCTCATGTCTTTGAAAGGAAGCAATGGGTCGTGGAATACAGAAACCGATTTTGAAGATGATGACAGTAATGATATACAGGACGATCGGGACAAAAAAAAAGTCGATGAGATATGGCAGAACTGGCGCAGAATTTTCGTTGTAATATCTTTGAAGCATCCCATATGCAACGTTTGAGCCAAATTTTCGTAACTGATCTGTCTAACTGACTGTTTAATAATTTTTTAAGATGGTTCCCCAAGATGGAAGGTGTTCATCATTTGTCCGTCTTGAACAAGGATGCTCATGTCTATGGTTCACCTTTTCAATTTACCGTCGGACCGTTTGCAGAAGGAGGTGCGCACAAGGTGAGGGTTTTTTTTTCAATTTCAAACCAATAATAACTAAATCCTCTCTGTGCAGGTGAGAGCATCAGGAATGGGTGTCGTTCGTGGTGAGACCAACAGTTTGCAATCTTTCAACATCTACACTCGTGAAGCAGGACCTGGTAATCTGTGGTGTCCATGGAGGGACCAAGCAAGCCACATATGGAATTCCAGGATCATAAGGTGACCTTTTGTAATGTTCCGCACATGTTGACACAGTTGTACTGTTTTTGTATAATCACCTATGTAGTACCAGACACAGAACGATTTCCAAAGTTTGACCTCAAAAGGCACTTACAATGTCCTTTTGAGATTTTCTGAGCATTAATTTCTGCTGGATTAACTTCAATGTTGCAATTTGGCCTTATCCTCAATTTGTCTATATAAGAACACGTGAGAAGAAGAGAAAAAAGAACACAATTAATGAACCAATAAAAATCGCATAAACCTTGAAAAGTTTCAGCCAAGAATCGTAAGCCAACACACGCCGTTCGGACCCTAACTATAGTCAAATCAGCAATAAGTATCTGTGTTCAAATAGATAGACATGAGTTGATGCAAATCTAGGCTGCACATGAAGTCGTATATTGAAATGTTCTCCAAGAACTCCAAAAATTTTAGGATGGCAACTGCTATGTGAAATACAAGGTTGCTGAGCCCGGAGAGTACATAGTTGGGATCAAGTTCAATGACCAACATATCACGG